GCCAATGAAGGAGGAATATTTACATTAGTTTGTCAGTAAGTATTTAAACAATGTCATGGTACCTTAAACCTCACTGCTGATCGATAAGGTTCTAAAATGAATAAGTGTAAAAACGTACATAATTTCGACCAGGATAAACTGAGAAACAACTAGCTAAAATTTCTTTAGAAACATTTAGTGAGAAAGATTTGTTTATTCCAAAATAAAACATTTATCCGATTTTTCATGATTTTTAATTGTGTTACTGTTGGGGATGTTAGATCCCCAGAACTCGCTTGATAATTGCCTTATTTTGGATTTCACGCTTGCCAGCATGGGCTGATCAGTTGACCTTGAGATTTCATTTCCCACCAGGAAAATCATGGCCGTGATTGACTAACGTGTATTTTAGTGTGCTATTTTCGTAACTGTCCGAAGGACGTTTCTATGATTTATAAATAAACGAGAGTTGTGTGCTTGATTGTATTGTCCATGCTGTATGTTTGTAGAATATACCTTCTGCGCTACGAAGCCTTCTGTCTTCAGCTTGGGATTCAAGGTAGCCTATCTGGACGCTGGTCCTTGTCTCGTTCGCGTTTATCGACTAAGGTGAACTAGTAATAGCTTCAAGCGTACCTAGTAACGAACTTATCAGTTACAGTTTTTGTTAAGCCTTAATGTTTATCTGTTTTTAAATAAACTAATTCTGTATGGAAACCGCTCATATTAATAAAATCCAGAAATATATATATATATATATATATATATATATATTGTACAGCATACATACAGAATATTCTGAACAAAAAATTATAAAACAAATCAATAATCAGAACAAAAAAACCATTTAGAATTACTTTACATTAAGAATTACAGAGGTCAAACATATAAAGATGTTCAATAAAGTTTTAAAAAATTACATATTAAACAAAGAAAACGTATTATTTTAATTATAATTAGGGAGATTATCGATTGTATACAGGTTTTTACAAAAAATACAACTAAGAACACATTGTGTATCTTTACAGATTAATAAAATATTTCAACTACAGTTTACTCTTCTTACAAGTGTTAAGAATAAATGTATTACACAACTTCAATCAATTATTAAAAACTTGGATTTAAACAAACTGAGCTCGGTTGGCTATTGGTACTGAATCCAATTAAGCTACATACAACATACAACACAAGTTTATTCATACTAGATAGAAGTAAAAATACACTGTAGCTACTGTTGAGCATCCTTGGATCGATCGATAAACTAATTAAACAATATGAACTAAAAGTTAGGAATCAAGTTTCCAAAACGCCACCTAATAACATTGTTTGACATTTTATACTCAAGAAATCAATGATTTCACTTTGGTCTTTCTGTGCATAAGCACAAACGAAATACAAGAAAAGATGGGCTGTGGCTAGTGGTGGAATCCAGAAAGTGTGTTTCAACTTATTTCAAATTCAACATTCAAATTTACTTACGTTCAAGCATTGATATTCCCAGAAGAAATCAACTTATTGAAGCAGAAATGTATTCAAGATATCAAATGCTTGTAAAATGTTATCAACTTTAATCTGAATGTATTCCTAATTTATGACAAAATTAATAACTAAGCAGAGAGTAATAAAGGTTAGATATAAAAATTATAAAGTGTAGGGTTTTCTCGAGTTTTTCAATTTATCAGAACTACAAATTAAAAATAAGAAGGTGAAACAGGCGAATTGAGAGCTATCTGACAGTTTCAATGTATATATATACATTGCTCTTGGTTTCAATAATAAAGTCCGTTGAAGTGAACACTCAGTGACATTTAGTCTTCACTATGAAAATAAAATACAATAATGTAACAAATATTGTTAATCAAATGATCTAAAAAAGATATTTTTTGATTGAATAAAGAAAGATTTCAAACAATCATAGTAAGACATGAGACAAGACAAATAAACGGAAACGTTATATTTTGAAAAATATCAAAATTTTAATGGTACCATAAAAAATCAGTTTGATGAATTATATAAATTCAATTTAATCTGAGAATTATTTCAATCACAAACTAACATCTCAGCTGTTATAGTCTGAGAAGGTTAGAGTCTACTGAACAATGTTTTCTTGTTCGTTTTAAACTTTACAACAGTAAAAACTTACCTAAGATTGTATGTATATAAATAAGACCTCTAATTCTCATGAAGAACATCAGATTTATCAAACAAGAAGTACCAGATACAGTTGTTAATACTTCCAAATCCAATCTAACTTGACCATTGTCTAATGCGGTATCTGCATTACGGGGTTGTGAAAATTGTTAAGTTTCACATTTTTGAAACCATGAATCAATCAATGTTAGACCACCATTAGAAACCTGGAAACACTGGACGGCCGTTTCGTCCTGGTATGGGACTCATCAGCAGTGCGCATCCACTACTCTTGCACCTTACAGGATTCGAACCCAGGACCCTCGGTATTGTGCGCGAACGCCTAACCATCGGACCACTGAGCCGGTATCTAACGGTGTTAATGTCTAACTTGGTCAATTCACGGAGTTGCGCAACCTCATACACAGTCTTTGGTAGTTACGGTATCACCAGATACTGTCTTACGTACTTTTTACTTATTGAATGACATAAGTTGTGGATTACCAATAGATCTTTCAAGACATCCATCTGTAAACCAATAATTATTAAGGTTATGAAATAAATTTTTGTTTAATTTTGGTAGTTATGCTTAAATTTTTTAACACAAAATTTTTTGACTGTTGGATATTAAGTATAAATGTGTCTTTTAAGTTAAATGCTTGAATCAAGGTAGTTTTGTTTAATAGAGTCTATTGTCGAATAGTTAACTTCTTTGAACTTTTCGACTCCAAGTAATGAATGATTCATTTTCGTACTGATTAGTTACAAAAAACAAAAGCTGTTGTTTCATGTTTGAATAACTGCTAAAAAATATAAACACCGTTTATGTTTATTTAGTAAGATTTAACGTAATCATTTAGTTTTATTCAGATCTATACCCTATTTTAAAATTGTAAATTTATGATAAGAATAAATTTTGATTTAGAAAATATAAGTGACATGATGTTGAAATGTTATTTCCATCAATGATGAAAGTAATCACTAGAAATATATTCTGAAATCGAAACACTGACTATGTGACAATTAATAAGATGTTATGCTTTTAAATCTTGGGATAAATGTGTTTGGAACTTTTGCATCATCAGTGAATATTGACGTTTGTACTGTTTTTTACTGATGATATGCATATTCAGTATCAAGGTTATCTATCCTCTTACCCAGAAAATCAATAAAAAAAATCAATACCAAGGAATGATCATCATGTCATCGACACAATATCAGTCTTGTAACATCTGGTCACAAGACAGACGAAAATTTACGAGCTTCCTTTTGTAGACAACACGCAACTTGAAGTTATGATACATTTCAAATAGCTAAGTGTTTTAAATATTTCTGTTAAATTCGAAAAGTTTTAACTCACCTGTTGACAATGGAATAAGTACCAACAAAAAGTAAAAGTTTAAAATAGCTTGAAATGATCAGTAATATTCAAGAAACTAGTATATTTTACGGAAATATCTGTGATCACATAAAAACGCGATTATATCAAAGCTGAAGAAAAATTTGGTCATCTTTTGTTTTATACAAATTTTAGTGATATTTAATTATCAGTTAGAGTTATGGAGATTACTGTTTTTACACATTTTAAATTATCAATCAATCATTTTTACACCACCACTAGAAACCTGGAAGCACTGAACGGCCGTTTCGTCCTGGTATGGGACTCATTAGCAATGCGCATCCACTACTCCAGCACCTCGCAGGATTCGAACCCGGGACCTTCCGTGTTGTGCCCAAACGCCTAACCATCGGACCACTGGGCCGGTATCTAACGGTGTTAATGTCTAACTCTGATTGATCTACTCTAACTGAAAATATCGTAAAATGTGCTCATTAGTAACTGGCTTCGTGAGGAAATTCTCGGAGTTCTAGTGAGAAGATGTGACCAGTGGAGTGCAACCCTGTCGGGTGTAGGCAGTAACTACCGAAGACCAGTGAGTGAGGTCGCACAAAATCCCTAGATCAATCAGAGTTAGACATTAACACCGTTGGGTGCCGGCACAGTGGACAAGAGGTTAGGCGTTTGCACGCAAGACCGGACGTCCTGCGTTCGAACCCTGCAAGGTGCAGGAGTTGTGGATGCGCACTGCTGATGAGTCCCATACCAGGACGAAACGCCCGTCCAGTGTTTCTAGGTTTCTAATGGTGGTCTAACGATGACTGATTGATGATTTCAGATATGTAATTAGTTGAATTCGGAGAGAAAAACACATCTATCCCTTCTTAAAGTATCTATTAATTAAAATTACTTTTATTCAATATTGTTCTTAAGATAATATTTTCTACAGTATATTCAATTCAAACAAACTGTTTCACATTGATCATTGATATTACTCTGACCAATTAACGAACTTGAAAACACAAAATTAAAAAAATATTGGAAAATTAAACACGCACAAAAAAAATTCATGCAAGGGAAAATATTAAGAAGAAACTAAAAAAAATTAAACCTTTAAAAACTATTCTAAATAATGATTGGATCAAAAATTCACGTATTGAAATAGTTATCAAACTTTTATTCTAAGATGGTAGCTAACTAACTGAATGATTAATAACATGTATGTACAATAAGTAGTTAGGAAACGATTAGAGAGATGGTAGTTGTATTCATTTTGATTTGTTCATCATTTCTTATCCCTCAAAGTAAAGAAGACATCAACGTTGTTTGAATTCACTTATACGCCTCCCCCTTTCATAAGTAGTATATATATATATATAACTTTAGAAAATAAGATAAGACACAGTATTGAGATAAATACTGTTTGTTACATTTATTGACAATTATAAAATAGTCCACACAATAGTTGATGTTTCACTGTTAACTAATAAAATTTTCTGAACACATATTACCTTAAAAGAAAACGAAAATACACCTATTAACTATAGACTAATTAAAACATACTGTGTGAATAAATCGTGATTAATTGAAAAAAATTTTTTGTTTTTAAAAGAATCAACAATGATGAAACAAAATTTGTTAAGAAATTCAAATTATAATTTCCAATTGAAACGGATTTATTTCATGTTAATAATTATTATGATTACTGTGATTATTATACCGAATGAAACATTTTCAATGACTCTATATAGTCATAGTCAAAAACCAAATAATTTTATTCATGATATTGACTATAACAATATGGATGATGATTATCAACATTATTTAAGTCAACAACATCACCAACAACTACAATCATCTAATTTATATCCATTTGATTTATTCAATTATCTTCATAGTATTAGTACACAAAAACGTGCACCTGCACCATCCGCCGCATCATCATTCCGCAATTCACCATCATTTTCATTCAATGGTGATATGCGTTTAATTTCGAATTTACGACATATGATGTCTGGTGCTAATCCATTGACAGCATTTGGATAAATATGTTACTTTCACATTCATTACATTTATGGTAAACAAAAAATAAGGAAAGAGGACTCGGTTTGTGTTTTTGTTTGTTTGTGTATTTTTGAGAAAAAATTTATATTGTTCACTTTGGTTATTTATATGAGAGAGAAAAAGAAATATATTGTTAACGAAAATAAAATTAATTCTACTTATTATATGCATTGTTTGTTATACCAAAGAATTAAAGATGAAAATCAACAAAATTCTATTCATGAAATAAATTAATGAAATAAATAGTTTATTTTTTTTCTTTGTCAAGAAAAATCTGAATAAAAGAATCAAATACAATAGGGAAATAAGGGTTATGTAAGAAAATGTTTAGAATTGATTTATGAATTGTAATGTTCAGCTTACTACTTGTAGTGTTAGTTATTTAAATGCGTTGAAAGTAGTGAATAACACAACAGTAATCTAAACAAACTGTGAGATACTATGAATACTACTGAATGTCTGGGGTGTTTTTTTGTCAAAATTTTGTCGAAACAACTTTTCTAATAACATTCTATCAATGAAATAGTTTCTCTCAAGTTTATTACTTTAAATAATATATAGAATAGATAGAATTTGGCTAGCGGTGGAATGTAGAACTTGCTTTCCGTCCTAATCAAAACTCATAAACTGGAACACAGCGTTTGAAGCAAACGGTACTGGGTTTAAGTTCCCAAGTGAGCATTAACTCCAAGATGCAGGTACATCCAATTTATGAGTCTTGAATAGGACAGAAAGCAAGTTCCAGTTTCCACCACTAGCCAAATTCTATATCTCATTCACTTGGGAACTTGAACCTAGTACCGTTTTGCTTCAAACGCTATTGTGTAGCTGCTACTGAATCCAGAGAGACGTCTCATGCTACAAGCTTATCCATTCTATATAAACTTATATCATTATAGTTATATCAAGACAATTCTCATACAATGCCCATAGGCCAATCAAGAGTGATCGAATTTCACTCAGCAGTTAAACAACAGAATAATTCAATGTATTTCAAACTAAATTAAACCGATTATTAACGTTAAGAAAGAGATATATTCACAGTGAACAGATAATAGGCAAGATAAAAAAAATCCTATTTTATGGATCTGTTCTAGCCACAACAAATAGTTTTCATTGCAAATGTACTTCAGTTGAAGAATTATTGAAGACCAATAAGCACTGAAGTGATATTTTCTATTAGTTATAAACTGATATATTATGCTCATCCATGTACAATACCTCTACAATTCTGTATACGGATATGATGGGTATGGTATTTATAACTTAGTATATTTACAAAGTATACTGAAGCCATTATTGTTCCGACTTCAGTTCAATTTCAAGAATTCATCTGTAAGCTAATCCTTTGACAGATAATGATGATTCTCCACATCAATAGTTCATAGATACTTATTTTCAAATTGATATCAATCTGTGACCAATTGATTCGCTCTCCAAGTCACATATTTTTTAATAATATTGAGTAATCAATCCTAAGGTTATCTAAAAATGAACTGTAAATAACTAAAACAAAAGAAAAAAAGGTTTCAAAAGATCAATAAGAGTGATATTTTCACAACTTGATTTCATCAACTTACAGAGTCAGTTAACTAATATATGTCTTTCTAAATTAGATTACATGTGGTTTTTAGAATTAGTCGGATTTTGTTTATTTCTATTGATGATAAATTCATTCTATTAGGTAAAACTAATTCAATATTTCATGGGAATCAATATACTTCTGTATACATATATATATATACATATATATATTTTCAACTGTCACACTAATTAAAACAATAAGTTCATAATAGTAACTAAACTATTGTAGTAGTTTGTTATTGTTGTTGTTGTTGTTAATGCAATTGTTTTTTTAAAGTCTTGAGCATTTTACTACACATCATAAGTTATAATTGTTATTCTTTATAAATAACAATGACAGTATTCAAATTATCATGTTGTATTGTTAGAATGATGAAGTGAAATATTGAAAAAAAATGGTGAAGATTGGTAGCTTAAATAGATGTTGTCCAAACATACAACAAAGGTCCGTTTGACTACGGCATCTTACTTAAAGAACACAATACTATAAGAAATACAAATATCCATCAGATCTAAGGACAGTTAAGTTAACATGAACCAACATCGCTTATAGGTAATTACAGAAATGATATTACCTTCATCATCCTAATACTAACCAAAATTTAATAATCCTTTTCACCAGTGAAATACCTTAGGGCATAGTTGGCAGCCGTTACATCTTACTTCAGGATTAGTTAGTTGAACAACCCAAATACACAACACGAGAGAGAATAAGTGATTTTTTGGTCTAGTGGCGAGTAGTGTGATTTCTATCTTGAAGTAAATTGGGCAAGGTATTGAAAAAGCTGTGGAAACAGCAATGATATATACCAGTAAGTTGAATCAAAAGCTTAGGGAAAATCAGTGGATTGCAGTAACATCTACTGAACTGATAAATGCTCGGTAACTCACCCCATCTGATGACCCTGAACAGGATGGAAAGAAGAGGCGGCTTAAACACAAACTAATAAAAAAATATGCATTGATCGTCAACATTTGAAACAAATGGAAAATATCTGGAACTCTAAGCAACTTTCAACCAAAACCAAAATCAGGATTTTCAATATAAATGTCAAGACAGTTATACTGTATGGAGCGGAAACTTGGAGAACTACCAAAGCCATCATCCAGAAGATATAAGCATTTATGAACAGTTGTCTTCGCAAAATACTTCGGATTCGTTGGCCAGACACCATCAGCAACAACGTACTGTGGGAGGGAACAAACCAGATTCCAGTGGAGGAGGAAATCAGGAAGAAGCGGTGGGAGTGGATAGGATACACACTACGAAAAGCACCAAACTACGTCACGAGACAAGCCCTCACATAGAACCCTCAAGGCAAAAGGAAAAGAGGAAGACCAATGAACACATTACGCCAAGAAATAGAGAAAGACATGAGAAGAATGAACAAAAACTGGAAAGAACTAGAAAGGGAAGCTCAGGACAGAGTTGGTTGGAGAAAACTGGTGGGCGGCCTATGCTCCATTGGGGGTAACAGGCGTAAGTAAAGTAAGTCAACAGTGGTAGATAGTGAAAGCAAAATTGATGGAAAAGGCAGCAGTGACAGATTACAGTAGACAACTTTTCAGACTTATCATGAAAACTGTTATTAGAAATCTGACTGTTAGCAAGGCTCTGTCAGAAATAGATTGAACTATTATTCACTCTCAGTTCAAGAGAATGGACAGATGAGTAGATTACTTTAGTGAACAGTTCAACTATACTATCAACTATCATCGACTAATAACTCCCCATTAACTGATGTCACTATTTAAGTTTGGTTGTTTATAGATTTTTATTATTCTACTTCTAAGTTATCCAAATTGTCTCATTGAAGTAGCTGAGCATCAGAAGAACACATCTAAACCACAATAATTTCACCTTCGTCAGTCACTCCTTAGGAGCGTACATTCTCAACACCGCATCTGCGAATCGAATTATACCGACTCAATGGTCTAAGGTTTTATTCGTGGACAAGATCAAAAGTCCCGGTTAGACTCCCGGAAATGAGGTTGCAGGTGTACATCGCTGAAGGTAGTAGTACAAGAATGAAATGGGTGTTCGTGGCTTCCAATTATTCGATAGTGATCTGACTAAGATCAGTTCTTGATTTAAACTATGAAAATATAAATAATAATCTTTTGCTAAGTAAAATCTCCATAAAAAAGACTCTTATTACAGTTTGAGTAATTAAACTGTACATTTTCAAGTTAATAAATCACTATTTTAATAATTCGATGAACGAATTTTCGATTGTTGAGTTTAAAGGAAAGAGTGGTGATCGTTAGATAATGTGCATTAAATCAACGTGACTGAGTAAACGGACTACTGACTTAAGCTCTCGAATGATGCGAAGTCAAAGATAAAACCATTATCTAGAAAAGTAATTTTTTATTATAAAATGGCATTATTTTCTTACTTACTTTCGTCGTTACCCCTCATGCAGCATAGGCTGCCGACCAGCAACCTTACACCAGCTCTGTCCTCCACTCTCCTATTGAGCTGTTCCCACGTGCTGTTCATTCTTTTCATGTCTGTTTCCACATCTCGGCTCAATGTTTTCTCAAGTCTGCCTCTTTTCCCTTGGTCTTGAGTATTCCGAAATATGGCTTACCTCGTGACCCAGTACTTTTTCGTGATTACTTTATCGACTGGAAACTGGTTTTCTCCCACAATAGTTTATTGTTAATGGTATTTGGCCGTTAGATCGGGAGCACCTCGTGAAGACAATTGCTTATAAACACCTTTTCAATGGTAGCCTCGTGCGAATTCCCGTAGTGTCGAACAAGCCTCTATAGTGTCATCCAGTCTACACTGTCAAATTTTTTCTCGTAATCAAGGAATTAATTATTTTGTTCAGTAACACTGTCGAAGACTTTTCCTGGTCTTCAGAGTAAAGTGATGCTTCTGTAGTTCTCACACTTGCTCAAATCTCCTTTCTTTGTTACATTGATGAAGTGTCCTTCTTTCCAGTCTGTTTAAACTTGTTCTTCTTCCTGAATCTTGCTAAACACAGCGTAAAGCACCTTAGCAGTCACTTCTATGTCTGCTTTTAGTGCTTCAGCTAGTGACGTTGATTGGTACTTCTGCTTAACACTCTTCATTTGTCTAATGGCCGTGGTGATCTGTTCAATTGTTGGGAGGGCAATATCATTTGAGAGGTTCGTAGGTGCTGCTTAGATAACCAGTGTGTTCACTAGGTCTGGTCTATACGAAAGTTCTTGTAAGTACTCTAGTCACCTGATTTTTAGTTCTTGAATGTCAGTGGTCGATCTACCTTCCTTCTTCATGATTGGTTGTTCTAATTTACTAAATTTTCTAGTTGACTACTTCGTTGTATCATGTAGTTGTTGCATACTTTTTAAGCTTGCAGTTTTTCTCGAGACCATTACCAGATCTTCCATATATTTTCATGTATCATTTATAATGCTCCCCCTCACTTGCTCCGGTGTGTTCGGGCTGTGACTTGACTTCCTCTACTCTTGTTCGGCTGTTATGGATCGCTGTTTTCTTTTGTTGAACCTTATCCAGAGTACTAACATCGACCTATTCCTTATGATGGTGCTTCTTGTGGCCCAAAACCTCATGGCACGCCGAAGTTAGTGCTTCTCCAATACCTTTCCGATTGTTCTCCATGATAGCTTCATCTTCTTTGAGTAGACACTGAAAGGCTTGAAACTTATTGCTGAGAGCTATCTACAGTTAGTTGAGTTTGTCAGTATCTTGAAGAAACGCCATATCAAACTTTGTGATGCTGTTCAGCCAGTTGTCAAGTGTCTATTCAGTTTAAGTCTAGCCTTGGCTATGTCAGATCCTCTCTTTCTTCTCACACCTTACATGATCCTTCCGAACTTTTTATTGATGTAGATCTAATCGATTTGACTCAGCGAAGTGTGACCGATGAAACTCATGTAGCTTTGTGCATGCGTGTGTGGGAATATGGTACCACCCATGACCATTTTGTTGAACACGCGCTCATTTGCGAATCTCTAATCATTTTCAGTCCTTTCTCTCAGTCAATGTCGTCCCAAAACGTCTTCATATACGGTGTTGTCCGTTCCAACCTTAGCGTTTAGGTCTCCCATCAGAATAGTCGAATCCTTTGGTGGGCATTTACTGACGATCGACTGAAGCCCCTCATAGAATTGATCTCTATTGTCTTCATTGTAATTGTTGTTGTCCGCACTGCACTGGATGGTATTCATTAAAATTCTCTTCTTCTTTGTCTTGAAGGATGCTTTGATGATCGTAAGTTCACAAGATTCATATCCTACAAGTGCCTTTTATGCTTCTCTGGACAGCATCAGTGCGACTCCTTATGCGTGAGGCATTCTCTCTTGTGACCGGAAAATAATAGCATCTCTCCTGAAGCTTTTCTTTTTTGGCCAGTCTGAGTCCAATGAGTTGCACTTATCCCAAGCATCACCAGGGTTGTATCCTTTCATTTCATTAGCAATTTGGATAGTTCTCCCGGTCTCCCACATTGTGCGAATATTCTATGTACTCATATTAATTGTTGCTCGAGTTGTCAGGAGCATAGGTCTCATGACTCTCGAAGAAACTCGGCTTTTACGATGAAGCGTCATAACTCTTCTGAATGAAGACGTTCCAATTCTCAGGACAGAGTTTAAATGGTTGGAAAGATGTTTTCATGCTGGCGTTTTTCTACGGGATCGGATCGCTAAGCCCATGTTCAACCCTCCTCCTTTATCCAGCCTTGGGACCGGCAGCAACCACAGAAGGGCTTATGAACAAAATATTAACGAAAAAACAACGGCTAAATACCAGCCAATTGTAGGAAATTAGTTTGTACGTCGCTCACCAGTCGGTTAACTCCTGATATTCAGGCCATATTCTTGCCCGTCATATCATTCGACTGACTTATTTCATATGGAAATTTTGTGATAGAAAACGATTAGGTGGTTTTTGAATAAAGAATAGTTTCAGTTCAACGAACGATTTGTAAGGTATTGAATAATTATGCATACTGCAATATCAGTATCTTCCATGTGCAGAAAGCTTACATAAAACACCATTTTGAAATCAAATACTCTACAATGCCAACAGTGAAAGAAACAAAGATAAAAACTGATGAAAAGTACTCCGAGATACAAAAACTGTAGTTGGTATGGTTATTTGTTATAACTACGAACGGAACCGATCAATTGTTATCTGTTACAGTGGAACAAGACTAATAAATACATGAATACAATGAGGAAGGCGAAACTGTAGATGAAGACTTTATTATTCACCAACCATAAAATTCACAAACTGATTAACAAGTATATTATAAATATAAATATAATGTCTGATCTAATTAACTGATCAATATTAAAATTCTGAATACATTAAACTGGAGCGGGGGGGGCAGTAGTTGATACAAATTAATCAATAACTAAATGCATACATAAAATATCAATAGATCAAATTGTTTTAGATTATAATAAAAAATACAACTATATTTTCCTAATTTCAATGAACCCTATAAATCTAAGTGTTGGCTAACACACACAATCTAGTCAATTGTATTTGACAGTTAAACAATAATACTATTATACTGACTATTCAATCAAGTTGGTAATAATGACTTCTAGGTTACATCAAAGAATTTGAAAAACAATTCACAACACCGATTGGCTTTCAAGTAAGTAACTTTGTTAATTGTGGCCTCTATGATGGATTAAGAGATATCATGCGAATGCTTAAGGCACACAAGATGTTCAGTTGTTCTGATTCTGCTGCTAACACATAAAACAATAAGAATGTAGTTTGTAAATGCTAGTAACTTTCAGACAAAGTGTTATTACCGATGCAGTGAATGAAATACTTCAGTAGCGGTGCAAAGATCGTAATCTCATAATATTATAACGATGTACTATAGGCGATCCTATTGATATACAACAGGAAACAAGTTTGAGGTCATATGACAATCGATTTACACTCTTACAAATGATAGAGAATGAAAAAAATACACTATACTCCTTTAGGCAAGTCTCTGTACCGAGAAACCATAGCTTTAAAATTACAAAACTGATAGCTGACTTTGAAAAACTCACAAATACTGTTCATACAGAAATTTCATTATCTTCTTAAAGACAGATTAGTACTTTAATGTATGATCATTTGAATGTAAAAGCATTAAGATCAATGAAGGATTGATCACTGACCAGTGATCATTATCAATCAATTGTAAATACATTTGTCCTACAGGATGTCAGTAGCGGCCCGAACAACTCAGTGGTCACATCATTGACTATAAAGCTGAAAGACACAAAGTCGAATCAGCTAAAAAGTATCGGTTCCTTTAAGATTACAGGTACAACACTTTGTGATGAACGCCAAATAGCATGAAACCAAAGTCTAGCGCCATCACCTTATATAGTTTGGGTGTATTTGATGAATATATTTAGCAGTAAACAAAAAAAAACAACTGACAAACTATCTTCTTTGTTTTATCCACGTAATATTTCAGAGAACTCAGCATTAAAAAGAAACTTGTTATTTTCAAAACAAAAATAACAGACAGAAATTATCTTTATTGCTTTATTAACATGAAAGATTTTCCTGAATTCATTAATTGTAAAATAAGACAACTTCACTATGACAAAATATAACAAACCCAAGTGTGTTGTATTATTTCACTTGATGAAAGAGGAATTTTAATGAAATAAAGAAAACCAGAATAAAGACAAACACATGAAAAAAAGTGGAGGTTTTTTTTGTGTTCATTTGTAAAAGACAGCAACATGAAAGTTCAAACCAGTGCATAATCACACACACACACACACACACAAACAAGCACACAATGTGTAAGTAGAAGTACTAGTAAGGAAAAAAAATAACGAACTTTACAATCTGTAGACATTATGATATCTACAGAACAAATAAAAAAGAAGTCAAAGTAGAATTACTGAATGAATTGGAAATTAGGGATTAATTGAGGAGGAGAGGGGTAGGCGGCAATAGGGCAAGAAAAAAAAGGATAGTCAATTAGTTTATCACACAACATGAAAATCTGAGGAATAAATAAAGTAATAAATAGTTATTCCAAAGTTTACCAACTTTATGCAATGCTTCAAAAAATTACATACATAAATACATACAGGGAAATTACACACACACACACACGCACACACACAAACACACAGAAATAATATTAAAGCCTTCTATGCCTAATATAAAAAATGAACAATAATAATAATCCAGTTAAAAATGGTATTGCATAAAAATCCCAATCCATAGTTGATGTTAAATGTTCAGATGAATGAGATGATGATGGTGTTGTCGGCGGTGAGTCTTTCACACTGTCTATTTCATGTTTATCTACAGATGATCTACCACCAAATATATAACGAAGATATTGAGACTAAAATAAAACAAGAAAAAAAAGTAACAATATTGGTTTAGAACCAATGAAAATTTCCTAGTGATTCAGCTTTTTTTTAAGCAGTTAAGTTAATGAACAGAGTTGAGATATTTTATGAATATTATGTAATTGATTTTCAACAATAGTTGTACGATTGAAACTCTAAACATGAGTGAAGTTGACTGGAGAAAACGTTTAATGAACTAGACGTATTGTTAGTACCGACAATACAGTGAGATATATCATGTCATGTAATCAGTTAATGAAAAGTCTCCCCCACATTAAGTTGTTGTGGTGATGCCTGCCAACGGTGTCTGTGTAGAAAACTGTTAATAAACACATGTATCTTCTAGATGATGGTTTTCGAGGTTCTCCAAGTTTCTGCTCTACATAATAGAACTGTCTTGAGGTTCGTATTGAAAATCCTGACTTTGCTGCTGCTTAATAGTTGTTTCGAGTTCCAGATGTTATTCAATTGTAGAAATGCTGTCATTGTTTCATTCATTCTCGCTTTCATATCTGCGTCAGACCGTACTTGATCATCAATAATGTTGCCTAAGTATGTAAAGGTTTCTACCCACTTCAGAGCTTTCCCATCAAGTGTGATTTAGCTGGCGCAATTCATGTTTTATTGGAGGATTGTGCTTTTTCCCTGTGCATGTTGAGACCTACTACTGCAGAGGCTGCTGTTACACTGGCCATCTCCTGCATTTGTTGTTGCGCGTAGGAGATAAGGGCTAGATCATTGGTGAAGTACAGGTCGTCAAGTTGCATCCGATCTGTTCACTGGATTTTGTGATTCCGCTTCGATGTTGACGCCCTCGTAATCTAGTCAACCACCGTGAGAAAGAGAAAGGGTGAGAGTTAGCAGCCTCTTCTGACACCGGTCTTCACTTGGAACCCGTATGTGAAGTGTCCTCTAAGCACGTTCCTGCAGTTTAAATCATAGAAACAATTTCATTTGACGTAGACTATATTCTCAGGTCCACCACAGTGTCGACGAAGCCCTCGTAGTCTCATTCTGTCCAATGCCTCCTCGTCGCCAATCAAGTTGATATACCGTGGTGCATTCCATTCAAATGATTGTTCCACAATGATCCATAGTGTCATGTGCGATTTGGTCTGTATACGATCAATCCTTACGGAATCCAGCCTGTTTATCCCGAAGTTTGGCGTCTACGAAGTCCTACATTCTGTTTAACAACACCCTATCCAAGACTTTGGCTAGTATTGAAAGAAGAGTGATGCCCCTGTAGTTCTCATACTTGCTCAAATCTCCTTTCTTTGACATCCTGATGAGGTGTCCTTATTTCAAGTCTGTTGGTACTTTTTCTTCCTCCCAAATCTTGCTGAACAAAGCGTGCAACATCTTTGGATTTAACTCTTGGGTCTGCTTGAAATGCCTCTAACAGGTCATGGATAAGAATTACTTGGTCTCATAATAAAATTAAGGAGACGTGAAATGTTCCCAGTCTTTTAATACGATCCTCAGTAGACGTCTATCCGTGATGAACATTACCTACATATTTAATAACTGTTCAGCAATTTTAGTAATCGATTATCATCAGTGTGTTTGTAACTACTTAGTTAATGAAAGAATAACAAATAACAACAATTTAAAATTATCTTTTACAACATGCATAAATTTATTTACGAATAAAAGTGAAATGCATTTTGAAAAATTTCAAGTTATAATCATTCACTTACAAAACTTGATTCACCGAAAAATTCCATTACAAAATAAAATGAAAGACGCACAAGCGCTAGGTATACAGCTACTCGTGCATCGATTGATGCTTCAGCAGCCATATCATAAAATCGTTTGGCTAAATAAAGATCCTAAATAAAAAAAAAGAATAATATCAGTTATTATTATTATTATTATTATTATTATTATTTAACAATAGATCACAACAATCCGATGTCAACGTTTTAGTGAAGAATTAGTGTGAAGCAGAGTTAGTCTACTTGTAAATTCAGTGAATGGTCGTCAGCTTATGATATTCAGTTGTGATCAAGTTAAATTTTAAACGAATAGGATTTGTGAAACATGAATTATTTAATTGTGACTTTATGATATCTTGAAAATTCAATGTCTGGCAGTTTTATATTCTTCCTGTTGGATAAGTTCTATAAGATCACAAAAAAACAACAACTGCCTAGTGTGCCCTTTGTGTTTTTTTCTTTTTTAGAATTTGCAGTTTGATATCAATAATGTGATTAATATGATGATCATATTGATTTTGAAAAATGTGTCAAAAATAGAATTATATCGATCGCACGAACACGCCTTTACTATATTTAGGCGGAAAAAAAAAGACAAGGACCGCATTGGAACTAATCGTTATGCTGTGATCGAGTTCACTATTTGTCACAATATTATTAATAAAAATGTACTACTACAAGCCAGTGTGATAACACTTACTCGTTTCAATCCTAATCCTTGTTCATGCATATAACCAAGATTAAACATTGCTTGTGCATTATGATGTAGATCTGAAGCGATACGATAATGTTGAACAGCTTTTTCATAACTAATATCAGTACCAAGACCATAATAATAATAATCACCTAATTTGACACGAGAACTTGTGGAACCTAAAAAAAAATGCAATGCATAGGAGAGTAATGGGTGATGGTTTCTTAATAATACTTGATGGAATAATACAAAGTAAATGTGACAACTTGAAAAATTGGTGAGTTACAAAGCAAACAAACTTTTAGATCACAGTATTACAGAAAAAACCCAGAAATATTCCACTAACGAGTTTTTTTGAATCTCGAGGATGCAGATGAACTTTGATTAAAAAATCATTCACAACAATCGACACAACATGAAAGGTTTTGTTTTAAATTGAAGCACAGAAGTCAGACAACAATAATTTTTAATTTGCAAGTGTTCTATCATTAGAGTTCGAAGTATATTTTAGAAATTAATAAACTAATTACTTTCTGGGATTCATGTGCATTTGATGAACAGATAATGTTTTTATTCAGTCGATTTTATGTAACTCCGCCGCTAGGTAGGAAGAAATCTAGGGGCGGCCAAACCAAAACATGGCAGAAATTCATTAAGTGTACTGAGTCATGTTGGTAGGTGTCGACTATCTGGTTGGCGTCCGCAAGATGATAGTAAGTGATGCTTAAAGACCATGAATGACATAGCTCAAAACCGTTTGCAATGGCGCAGGTGCATTCATTCTTTGTGTTCACTCAAATCCTAACCTTCTTAATTCCTCATCACATTATCTTTTTCTCTTTAGGTTTCTTTCACTAGATTGTACTTCTTGAATAACATCTTCGAACCCTAATCTCTCCGATTACTACTAATACTTCTACTACCTCTACTACTATGGGTTTCGAATTAAAAATCGCATCTCCTTACCAGTGTGGTATGGTAACCTGAACTGATGTACGTACGTACAAAGTACTATGTTGCTGTTGATTGATTGACAGATAATCGATTTTATACCTCAATATTAATGAATATCACGGTCGGTTTGTTCACTGTTTAACGAATGCAGTAATAACCTATGCCAACTATTATTTCCGTATGCATTGAATAAAATCACATATATTGCCAATTGTTGTAATTAACCTATTTATTTACTGAGAGTTTCAAAATAACATACGTATATTTTTTTTGGTAATATTAAAATAATTTTCTATACAAATAAATTTATTTATAAACTTCACATTCTATTCAGTTAGTTACTAATTTGGAAGTCGGCTTTGATTAGGATTCGGTCATTTTTCTTCGCAACTATGCTTTCATACATGTTATTTCAAAAAAGATAAAACAACAATCAAAAATGATTACACTTTATACCAGATTTATATTAATTTTGCAATCCCAGATCTTAAATGTCGATAGAATCACTTATGGATATATGTAGTACAATTTGTGGAATTATTTCAATCAAACAAATAGTAGTACACAAATATAAACTTTGTACAGGAAAATAGATCTGAATCTAGGCACCTCGGAAACAATAAATATTTCCTGAATAGTTATGGTATTAAAGCTATGTGTATTTGAAAATTTGATTCCAGGCACTGGAAGAATATATTGTTTGAGGAAGAATAAATTCATGTGAACAAACAATTGCAAGGGTATCAAGAATTGTTGTACCCCGAGTACATATATATATATATATATATATATATATATATATATATATATATATTAACGATGATCTATGCTGCTAAATTACAATATACTCAATCTATGGAATTGTTGGGGACGTTAGATCCCCAGAACTCACTTAGAAAAAGTCCTAATTTTGAATTTTTTTGTGTTTTCCCGAATAAGACGTTTAGTTGATCTACAGCTTACATTTCCCACTCGGAAAATCCTTAACTGTCATTGGTTGATGGATTATTTTAGTACGCTATTTTGTGATTCTTCCAGGAACGTTGCTATCTTTGTATAAATAAGCTTGATTTGTGTGCTTAGTAACCTCGTATTTTCTGGGTGTTTGTAGAATACACTTTCTATAACACCCTAGCAAGACTTCTTGATCTAGTTAGTCGGGGCTGAGACAAACGGATAAGAATAGCCTATCGTGTCTCACTGGGTCATTGATTTCGTTCCGTTTGGCGAGTAAGGTGAACTCGTAATAGCATTCAGGCATGTCAATTGGCGAGCATATTAGAAATATTGTATTAAGTCAAGAATTTACCTTGTGTTGCTGATCGTTGCCATTGTGTAAATGCACGTCTGTGAATTTCATTGTTTGGAATTCCTGCAGCTTTTCCTATTAATACACACAAAAAAAATTGTACACAGAAAATTATAGACTATTGTTATAGTTACGATTTATTTAGTACAAAGCTATTAATAATTTGTTAGAAATATTACCTTTAATTATATTTTGAGTAGTGGCTAGTAATATAATTTATAGAAACTCGTTGTCTTATACGAGACTTGTTGAATGGATATTTCAGAAACATATCAATGTCTATGCATACCAAGCATTCATTATTACTTTAAATGCATCTACTGAGGTTGCATAACCCTAGTAAATGATCAGGGTTTTGTTTGCTGAATATTACCAACAAGAAAATATAATTTTTTTCGACCAATCATTTATCTGGTGTAGATTTGTGCACCTGGCTTTAAATCACACTCCAGATGTAAAGACTAGTGACATTATTCGATCACCCTAACCAAAGTAAGGGTAGTGGATTGTTAAAGGAAAGTAGAATGCCTTAACTGCTTAGCCTATCAAAACATTTTAAGCAGCTATAAATTAATAGAGATACAGGTTGTTTATGTAAAAATGAAGATGAAAAGTTTTTTTTTATCAGTCGTAAATTGCACTCATACTTACCTTCTTCTAGAATAAAAGCTACATTACTTTGAGCCACTTCATAACCGAGTTCTGCTAATAATTGATATGTAACAAACGCTTCATGATAACGACGATTACGAAAAGCAGAATAAGCAGACATGAACATTTTTGACCAACGACCACGTTCAGCTACATTTTTAAAAAGCTAAACATAATAATTAATAAAAGAAAGTAACAGGATTATTATTCGTCAGAAACTGATTAGTAAGACCTAGTTTATCAATTAAATAAAAACATTTTCACACTTAGATCGCCAATAATACATATTATGAAATTTTACCAGGTTTTGTCACACTCATACACTGATTCTAATGATGATTCTAAGCGATTTCAACACAAACTTTTTTTTTAATAACAGATCACATGGATATGATTCGACAAGTCTATCATTCTACATACAACTTATGCCTAAATAAAATGGCGAAGTTAATAAAATGATATATATACGTAGATGTGGGTTTCGTGTCTCGTTTAGTTTAGGTCACAACATTATAAACTATGGTAATTAATGGTATGATACATAACCATTAATACAGTTATTACAGGTGCCTTAATGAAAATCTTTATTTGCTATCTATTTCAAAGTGCAATAGAAGTGACCGATAACAATTTACTCATTTCAACTATGATCAATTAACACTTTTGATTAAAAGTACATGATTACAGATGTTATTGTAGTGTAACAATTGAATGGTAAAGCCATTAAATAATAAGTAGTGTTAAGATGAAAAAAAAAAAAATGAAAGTTGTAGACAAGGTGAGTACATTAAAAAGGCTGTAGGTTTGTAACGACTAATTTGGCTGGAACATTTTTACTATGTGACACTTCACCTGGAGCCCCTTCTGCGATTAATCCCGGTTCCAAGCCCAGGTAGCGGAGATTCGAGCTTGATGCTAGCAACTTCAACCAGTAAAAAGGAACCTTGGCAAAAAGAACGCTAACCAGAAATAATATGCTACACGTGCCTAGTGGCTGTCTATTTTCATCATTATATACGTTGGTTGATGTGAAAGTCGATAGAAAAGAAAACAGCTAAGAATAAAAACACATGATAGCAGTTTATGAAAGCGTTAACGTCTATTAAGTATACTGAAAAGAAAATTAGGTTTTCTAGTTGACATCTAAGAAACGTCTATAATCAGTGGATTAAAGATGTTAACATGGTAATTGTTTATTGAATCACAAGTTACACCAGTTAGACCAAGCAACCAAGAAAAAAACCCATTTTCTGGATTTAAAAAAGACTGCAATAAATCTACACAGTTAATCGTTATTTACAATCCATCAAAATCTGTCAAAGATTATTATTATTCCTTATGAACTGACAAAATACAATAACATCATTTCTAGTCAATAATAATTAATATGATCTATTACAAAATTAAAAAAGCCAATGTTGTGAAAGTGAATACACATCAAATAAAAATGAAACTCATGTAATATAATCATGCTCATGGTACACAAGAAAACAGAAAATGAACTGTAAATATGTCAAAGTTACCTAACATTCTCATATATTTTATACAAATTAGACAAGGGTAATTTTACATTAGTTTTCAGGAGAACCAACAAGACTACACATGTGTTAACACTTTAATCGTGAACAGTTCGGCTCAATCCCATGGAGTAAACACACAGGTATCTGACACCTTAACTCCGCCAGTAGAACCTTAGGGGCTACTGCCGGTCCCAAGCCCGGGTAAAGGAGGAGGGTTGGACATGGGGTTGGCGACCCCATTCCGTCAAAAACTAACTTGCCAAAAAAACGCTAACCAGAAAAAATAATTCAAACCATTTTAACTCTGCCCTGGGAGTTGGAGGAAGAATTATGACGTCGCGTGATGAAAGCCGAGTTCCCTCGGAAGTCACGGGGCTGATGCCTCTACTGACAACTAGAGCAACCATTTTTTTAGGTACATGGAACGTTCGTACATTGTGGGAGACTGGAAGACTATTTCAAGTTGCGGCACAAATGAAAAGATACAACCTCGAGGTGCTCGGCATCAGTGAAACGCATTGGACACAAGTAGGACAACTGAGACTAGCTTCAGGGGAACTGCTGTTATACTCTGGCCATGAAGAGGAAAATGCTTCACATATACAAGGAGTTGCATTGATGCTGTCCAAACATGCACAAAAGGCACTAATAGGATGGGAATCTCACGGACCCAGGATCATTAAAGCATCCTTCAAAACAAAGACGGGGGATATTACAATGAACGTCATCCAATGTTATGCACCTACCAATGACTACAATGACGACGTTAAAGATCAATTCTACGAAAGGCTGCAGTCAATCGTCGAGAAATGTTCACCAAACGATTTGACGATTCTTATGGGAGACCTGAATGCCAAGGTTGGAATGGACAACACTGGATATGAAGACATCATGGGACGACATGGACTGGGAGAAAGAAACGAAAATGGTGAGAGATTTGCAAACCTATGTGCCTTCAACAAACTGGTCATCGGTGGCACAATATTCCCGCACAAACGCATACACAAAGCTACATGGATTTCACCGGATCACAATACTCAAAACCAGATTGATCATATCTGTATCAACAAAACGTTCAGAAGGACTATGGAGGATGTGAGAACCAAGAGAGGAGCTGATGTAGCCTCAGATCACCATTTGCTAGTCGCCAAAATGAAACTGAAACTAAAGAAGCACTGGACAACGGGACAGACAACATCACACAAGTTTAATACGGCCTTTCTTCGGGATACTGTAAAGCTCAACGAATTCAGGATAGCCCTCACCAATAGGTTCCAGGCCTTTCAGGATCTACACAATGGAGAGGACACAACATTGGAGAACAATTGGAAAGGGATTAAGGAGGCAATCACTTCAACATGTCAGGAGGTCCTTGGTCGCAAGAAGCAGCATCATAAGGAATGGATCTCTGTTGATACTCTCGCAAAAATTGAAGAAAGGAGGAACAAGAAGGCAGCAATCAATGTCAGCCGAACAAGAGCGGAGAAAGTTACCGCACAAGCTGCATACACAGAAGCAAACAGGGAAGTGAAGAAGAGCATCAGAGCTGACAAACGAAAATACGTGGAAGATCTAGCAACGACGGCGGAAAAGGCTGCAAGAGACGGAAACTTGAGACAATTGTATGAAACTACAAAGAAGCTCGCCGGGAACTATCGTAAACCAGAACGACCAGTGAAAAACAAGGAAGGCAAAGTAATCAGCAACACTGAACAACAGCGAAATAGGTGGGTGGAGCACTTTAAGGAACTATTGAATCGACCAGCTCCTCTGAAGACACCCAACATCGAAGCAGCATCCACGGATCTCCCAATTAATATTGGCGCACCTACGATTGAGGAGATCAGTATGGCCATCAGACAAATCAAGAGCGGCAAATCAGCAGGACCAGACAACATTCCAGCAGAGGCAATGAAAGCAGATGTAGAAGCAACCGCGAAAATATTTCACATCCTCTTCAAGAAGATTTGGGATGAGGAACAAGTACCATCAGACTGGAAGGAAGGATACCTGATCAAAATACCAAAGAAAGGCGACCTCAGCAAGTGTGAGAACTACAGAGGCATCACTCTTCTTTCAATACCAGGCAAAGTCTTCAACAGGGTATTGTTAAACAGAATGAAGGACTTCGTAGACGCCCAACTTCGAGATCAACAGGCCGGATTTCGGAAGGATCGATCGTGTACTGACCAAATTGCTACATTACGGATCATTGTGGAACAATCAATTGAATGGAACTCACCACTCTACATCAACTTCATCGACTACGAGAAAGCATTCGATAGCGTGGACAGGAAAACACTGTGGACTCTTCTTCGACACTACGGGGTGCCTGAGAAAATAGTTAACATCATACGGAACTCTTATGATGGATTCAACTGCAAAATCGTGCACGGAGGACAGCTAACCGACTCTTTCGAGGTAAAGACCGGTGTGAGGCAAGGTTGCTTACTCTCACCCTTTCTCTTTCTCCTGGTCATCGACTGGATTATGAAAACGTCAACAGCTGGAGGGAAGCACGGTATCAACTGGACAGTTAGGACGCAGCTGGACGATCTGGACTTCGCAGATGATCTGGCTCTTCTATCGCACACTCAACAACAAATGCAAGAGAAGACGACGAGTGTAGCAGCAGCCTCTGCAGCAGTAGGTCTCAACATACATAAAGGAAAGAGCAAAATTCTCCGATGCAACACAACATGCACCAATCAAATCACTCTTGATGGAGATGCCTTGGAGGACATTAACACCTTTACATATCTGGGCAGCATCATCGACAATCAAGGTGGATCCGATGCAGATGTGAGGGCACGGATTGGCAAAGCAAGGGCTGCATTTCTACAATTGAAAAATATCTGGAACTCCAAACAGATATCAATCAACACCAAAATAAGGATTTTCAATACAAATGTCAAGACAGTTCTAATGTATGGAGCGGAAACATGGAGAACTACCAAAGCCATCATCCAGAAGATACAAGTGTTTATTAACAGCTGTCTACGCAAAATACTTCGTATTCGTTGGCCAGACACCATCAGCAACAACGAACTGTGGGAGAGAACAAGTCAGATTCCAGTGGAGGAGGAAATCAGGAAGAAGCGTTGGAAGTGGATAGGACACACTCTACGAAAAGCACCTAAATGCGTCACGAGACAAGCCCTCACATGGAACCCTCAAGGCAAAAGGAAAAGAGGAAGGCCAAAGAATACATTACGCCGTGAAATAGAGAAAGATATGAGAGGAATGAACAAACATTGGACAGAACTGGAGAGGGAAGCCCAGGACAGAGTTGGTTGGAGAAAACTGGTGGGCGGCCTATGCTCCATTTGGGGTAACAGGCGAAAGTAAGTAAGTAAGTATCTGACACCTTGGTGGACTAATCCCCAACTATAGATTACGATTATTTTATGGATATCAAAAATAGAGATTCTATAATTAACAACACATTTCATACAATCATTTAACGACTTTATGAATTGATATCATGTACTTAATTGACCGCTTCCAACTTTCTTTACACTAACTCGTATGTCAATGAATATTGTGCAAACAAATGAGAAATCAACACTGATCGGTCCAGATCTTACAACTTAATAATAATAAGTATTGCTTTCTACTCATACTGCAACAGTAGTATTGATAAGCTCAATTTTCAATGTTTAATTGCATTTAAGTAAATCACTAGAGATGAACCTAACAATTTGAACTTATTAGAAATAATTTTTAATTTATTACAACTCCATATACACTTGAAACATAATAAAATATGTAATCCAATTTACGATAGTATTGTGAATTAGTAAGACAGATTTAAAACAAATTGTTGTGTGAACTTATCTAATCATTGAAATGAATCAATGTAATCTGATTTGTTCTATTGTGTGATATGTATTTATATACAATTAATTTTAACCTTATATTTTTTTAAGTAAATTTTGTATAGATTAATACTTGTCTATCTTTATTTGTCTGTATAAATTGATAGTTAGATTGTTTGTTGTTGTTGTTGTTGTTGGGCGCATGAAATATAATCTCAAAGTTACATTTAGTATTTAGCTTTTAAGTACTACTGTTTAACAATAAGGTTAATCGAAATTATTATATGCAAAATTTTAATATCAGATATATTTCATCTATTATTAATTGAAATTAAAAAAATACAGATTACAAATAAGTTCATTTTCTAATCATTAGAAAATTTCGAACTAGATGGACTTTAAGTTTATGTTGATGATGTAACAAGTGGTATTAATTGTTGGGTAAATATGAGATCCAACCTAAGTGGTTTACAGTCAAACCAGTTTAAACATAATTGTCGATATGTTCGGGAATTGTGGAATATATTGAAACAATATGTGTAAACAAGAGTAAACTGGAGCCAACTACGATTATTGAACGTATTTCTATAGTAGTACATAAACCTATAGAACTATACCTAGCCTTGCATTTTCAAAACTAACTCGCTGTAAAAATTGGGAAAAGTTTGTGATAGAACACCATTTTGTTACGATGAACGTATAATTTCAGAATATATTTTCGATAAAGGATTTAGCTAACTACTAACAAGTAGTACGGTATGGCATACTTAGGATTACAAAAATGAAAGTATTTATTTGGTTAAAAGAGTAACACAATTCATATTGATAACAATACTGTAAACATGAGATATCAGAGTTTCAATATCTGTGCCTTTTTTTCCTCAGTCACCATGACTGCTAGAAATGATAATCACTATATATAAACAAAGAATATGATGTAGAAACCGATCATGAGAAACACTGTTACCTGGTTGCTATAAATTCAAAATAACAGAAGTCACTTGGGTAGAACTTTACTACTGCAACTACCTTAAAATTTTTGCACATTATAGATCTGAATACATATAATTTAAATGGTTATAACTATAGAAAGCATTAAAACTAGGAGAAAGAAATTCACAATTGATAATCTGATAAGAAGTGATTAAGTCTGTAAGATTATTGACCAATTTAACGTCCCAATCATTCGCCATATCATTTGATTGAATTTTGATGACTTAAGTTATTAACTATTGCACTATGTTATTTCTTATTGTATTTTGATAGTGTTTACTACGTTATGTATATTTGTTCAGCAGAAAATTTAATTTCAGTTAAAATTAATTAAATATAATTAATAATTTCTAAAAAGAAAACTACATATAAAGTGGTTTTTTCTAAAAGAAAAATAAGCTTGACATTTAAAAAATGAACTTATAGTAATACATTAAGTCATTAACTCACTCAAACAACTGTATTGAATGAAATACTATATATACAGGAATAAAATGTCATTCACTTACTTCGGCAGCCGTGCTACAGGATCGTAACACTCCGGTACCTTTGGCATGCATCTCAGCTAAATGATAGAAAGCCATTACATTACCCTGTTGTGACGCCATAGTGAAATACTTTAAAGCCAATTTGTGGTCAGTTTTTATTCCATGAGTACCTATGTGTTAAAATGGAGAAAGTGGTTTAATTTTATTTGCTTGAGGATGAAGTCCTTTTTAGGAAGTTAATTTTTGATAAAATGAAGTTTGGTCACAGAAATGGTTTTAGGTGGACGCGATTTCGAACATAGGATGATTTCTATCGATACATTATCTGAGAGATATGATTTTGTTGGTATTTCTGTGAATATATTCAACTTCAGACATTACAGTGCAAGAGTATTCCAAGGACTTTCAAAGTAGTAACATCCATATTCAGCCAACACAACTGTTATACCGAAAATAGCGAGAAAATGAGTCATCACTAGGATTTGTAATGTATCACGTTGCTGTAATTACAAGATAGTTAGTTCGATAGCGAATAAGTTACGTATAAAAACGATGAAAAGTCTTCTGGAAAAACTTTTTTTGAGAAACTCTACGTTCTGTATGTCTACAAATCAACCAGGCATATAGGCCACTATAATAGTAGCAAACAATCGTTTCCAAAAGTTATCACTGAAGATTTTGCATGTTAATAATTACTGCCTTACAATAACAGTTTGAGTTTACTTTACAACGAAGAATGACTGTCATAAGATGATGTTACAATCTACAACATATCACAATAAAAACCTTGGATCCCATCTACAACTCAGTTTATCAAAAACTGAGGAGAAACTTGTTCCTTCTGCCGAAGAGAAACGGTTGATCTACATTCGATAGTTTACCTATCTTTAAGCAATGTCAAATGGTTTTTCAAAACAGTTTCTCAGGTTTTGGACTTTCTAAGTAAGAAGCTCAGACACTGAAGAAGGATGATGACCTAAAAACAATTCTCGTCGAAATCCCACAGAATAATAAGATCGCCGTACATAGAAGTTACATCATACGCCAAGATAGGGAGTGGGGCAATTCAGCATGTCGACCGCTTCACTTATCTCGGGAGTCTTATCAGTGCTGATGGCCTGGTGCCTGACGAAATCTCAGCTCAGATACAGAGGGCTCGATTGGCTTTCGTGAACTTGCGTCACTTATAGCGTAGGCGAGATATCCGTTTGCTGACTAAAGGACGAGTGTACTGCACAGCAGTTCGCTTTGTCCTACTTTATGGCTGTGAAACATGGCCTGTAGGAGTTGAGGATATTCGTAGGTTACTGGTTTTCGATCATAGGCGTCTCTGAAGCATTGGTCGTGTATCTTAGGACAACCAAGTAGGCAATACTGTTGTGCTAATTAAGGACAGCAGGTCAACAGATGAAGTATTGAAACTTCATCAGTTGAGGTGGGTTGGACAGATGTTGCGTATGCCTGATCACCGACTGCCTCGTCGAGGTATGTTTTGCGATGTAGGAATAGACTGGAAGAAAGCTAGAGGTGGCCAAACCAAAACATGGCAGAAATTCATTAAGTCACTGACAAGTGCACTGCGCCATGTTGGTAGGTGTCGACTATCTGGTTGGCGTCCGCGAAATGATAATAATCAACGGTTAGAGACCCTGAATGACATGGCTCAAAACCGTTTGCAATGGCGCACGTGCATTCATTCTTTGTGTTCACTTAAATCCTAACCTTCTTAATTGCTCATCACATTATCTTTTTCTCTTTAGGTTTCGTTCATTAGATTTTACTTCTTGAATAAAATCTTCGAACCCTAATATCTCCGATTACTACTATGGAATTTGAAGTGGCAATTGCATCTCTATGATAATGTGGTTTGGCAACTTGAACTGATGTACGTATGTACAAAGTTCTATGTTGTTGTTGACTGGCTGACGTTATTTGTAAACGCCGCAGTTTAATCTCATAATTAACCTATAATTAGGTTTGGTTGAAATTACGAAATAGAAGAATGTATAATATCACTCTAAGTAGTGTTGATTATTTTAAGATTTAAACGCAGACTAAAAATAAATAACGAAACTTTTGTGACTCGTTTATCTAGGGCAATCAAATATTTAACCAGTCTTTTATGAAAACAGATGTTGAAAAATCAATACACTGAATGTTTACAAACCAAATATGAAGGTTGATAACCTTACCGTTACCTAAAAATAAACGACCAAGATGTAACTGAGCTTCAGGCCAGCCTTGATCTGCAGCCTTTAGGAATAACTCCATTGCGATGACTGGTTTAACTGGCAAACCGGCTCGGCCATATAGGTAGGCCAACGCTAAACCTGTTTGCCCAATTGGATTATTCTCCTCAGCCGATTTACGTAAATATTTCAAGGCTTTCATTGAATCGGCAGGTACAGCTGTGCTACCAACCATGTACATCTATAAAAAGTGAAAATACTTGAGTCACAAATCTCTGAGAATGTTAAATAAAACCAAAAAATATGTTATTGAAGCCAAACATAAATGAACTTGGATAATTTTTTTTAAAAAATGCTAACAGTGATCAAAGTTACCCATACACTGGCGGAAACTCTAACGTATATGCATTTAGCTAAATAAGCTCAAAACTTCCTAACATTCTTCGGTTTATCTGGAAAATTGAGTGCAAGAACATCTATATAACCTATACCAAGGTCTAATAACAGTGTAAATAAACATTCAATGAAAACGGTCATTCGAAACATAGGCTTCGGTTACGTGTATACATTTTATATCAGTTTTCGTATATGGAATTAATTACCAACACAAAGCGCATATGGCAAAAATGAAGAGGTGATCAATTTACTATATGGTACCATAAGATGAATAGTTATATTAGTTCGTTAAGACGATATATCAAGTCACTATCACATATGGCTCACAATAAAGACGTATTTCTGTCGAATGCATTTTAGGAACAGTGAGGTTTACTTTTGAGACTAACGGTATCTATTTTAGTTGCTTTCATGTAAGTTATACTTTTACGTAATGCTATTTGTATTTCTATGAGTTTGTATTATCACTATTACCTACACGCAATTATTGGTACAGATGCACCCAAATATTTACACGCCACACGAATCATTAAATTTTTGTATGGGCTAGGATACTGTCCAGGTGCCCAAACCGAAACTGGTGGTTTCCTTAGAGGGCCACTCCCTAACCCTATGGTTCGGAGATCCAATCTACAAAGCAATCGAGTACCGTCAGGAGACGCAGTACTAAGACAACCATTGACCAACGATAGGTTCATACACTATTCGTCCCATCAAGATCCTGGAGCCCATATGCACCATGGGCTTAGAACTAGGGTGGATCCACCATACCCAACAACCCGGTTAAACATCGGATATTCACTTCCTATCCTTTCAACTTCGTATGTAGCACCCTGACCACGAGAAAGAGTGAGTAGGAACTGTTTTCTGGCAGTGCCTATGTTGCATGGCCACGCGAGGGCATTTCGGAGAGGGAAAGCAGACTCTCCATATCAGTCGTACCCGGGATTTTGGGGCAAGTTCATATTGCATAGTGAATATTTTGGAACAGCTCCTTGTGACTTGGTAAAGCCGTCGAACGGTATTCTCCAAGCACAGTAAACTGATCTCTTCTCTACAGGTAGGCTATCCATCTGTATGTGTTGACTCTGGCAAGCTTGTTCAGTGCTTCAGGTCTTGGTACATGCATAATTGATGTTTAGTCTACAAGTCTGCGTTGAAATACTTCTTACCCTGTGCCAAGTTAAACACCAATTTATGGTGCAAAATAAAAGTAGCATCTGGGGTACTTCACTTACATTTATAAGCTAATTGATATAGATATAGATCCGATGTAAACTGAAATGTTAATATCAATGGTTCTGGTTTGAGAAAAAGCTAAGTTATTGCAACTGGTTCAAATTTGTATTTGTATCACCAGAAATGTCCTTTGGTTTAGGAGTAATTTTTGTCTTTCTGAGTATTTTTTATAAAATTCATTGGGAAAGACTCATGATAAATGCTGGCGCACAGATGATATAGGACGTCAGCACACTTCTTACTTCTTCAGATGGAAAGCACTCGGAGGAGTCAGTTGACTAGAAATGTTTCAGCAAAACCTCAAACACAACTTCGGGATTTAATTTGTCCTACAGATGTAATTCTAGAACAGTAAACGCAATATTGGCAAGCACATAGTCTATGGGAAAGCCATAGTTAGAATAAGACCAATTTTGCTTTACATTTTATCTGTTTCTAAACATGAAAACAATTAGATTAGTACATTAAATAAGGAAATTACAGCAAACGTACCGACCAATATAGCGTGTCTTATGGATACGAGTAAAGTTATGAGTCACACCAATATAATAAGATAGTAATGTCAATCAATTTGTAGGTGATTTACTACAAAGAAAGTTTACAGACTCGTCAGATCAGATCACGTGGTGAGCACTTTAACCACAATTTGATTGGTTAGCTATGACATAACTACAATTAGTTATGAAAATAATTAACAACAACTCATCTTCAAACTTGTAGATACAGGAAGCATTATATGAGATAACTGACGTACAAAGGATCTACGTCGCGTAGGATGCAAATACATACTGTAGATATAGTGATGGACCAAAAAAATCATAATTTCACCGTATCTAAGAGATCAGAAATTTGCATTTCTGATGTCTCAATATTAAATCTTAGAATGTGTTTTGATCGTAGTTGGTCTTTCTCAGCCCACCAACTTAGCTGTTAAAATACTTTTTTATAGAAAAGGAGATAAAGAAAGTCAGTGTAAAAAAAAAAACTTCCAGACCAACTCAGAAAATATTCTAAAAGATTCAAACAGAGGACAACGAAAGTAACAATAGCTTTCAACCGGAACGGCTCATACGATTACAGCAAAAATGTCTTGCTGATAACTACTGGATACGGCTTTGTATTTAGCACTTCTGAGCAGAACTTGAGTGAAGCAGCTTAATATGCATTAATTCAAATGGTAAACACTGAGGGGGATGTACATCACAATGTTCCAGCGGAGAAGGTACTGTTTCTAATAACGGCCACAACTTGGTTTCTTTGGATTTGACAGGATGAAGAGACTTGAGCTGGTAGATTACACCAATAATTTGATCCAAAACAACACAAACGCCGCAGAAATGGATGAGAAAATCTTTGTGCTCGCATTATTAGGGTGAAGTAGTATTAATTGATGGTCCTGCGGAATTCATTTAGTCAAGAGCTACTCTTATCCTTCAACTTATAGTGAAGCTGCTAGTTACACCCAAAAAGACCTGTGTCGCACATGTACCAACAGTCGAGCAACGGTTGGTGAGACTTCAGAAAATTGGTGTAACTGAGCCACCAGATGTTTAAAGTGGATAACTTCACCAGTGATAGTCGAGAAATCTTGAAGTACTGTCCGCCTGTTTGCAAATAATCCTACTGGTCTAAGTGAGTCTCTGGAAATCTTTTCAAGCATCCGAACGGGTGCCGGTTTTCGTTCGAAACTGGAGTTATCGGAATCCCACTTGCAGAGGTGATGACCGATACATACACTTATATCTGTTATTACTAATGGAGCGTAAGACGCCAATCAGAAATCTACAAACTACTATATACTCGGCCTTCTCTTCCAGTTCTATCCGGTTGCGGCTCATTCTTTTATTGTCTGTCTCCTAATACCAGAACAGCGCATTCTTTGATCTTCCTCTTTTATTTTGGCCTTTAGAATTAAAGATGAGTGCTTATCTTGTAACGTAGTTGGCTGCTTTCCTGAGTGTTTTCTATCGACCTCCAATGCTTCCTCCGCTGAAATTGGGTTTGTTTTACCCCAGAGTATGTTGCTGCTGATGCTGTCTGGTCGGTGATCCGAAGAATTTTGCGTAGACATCTGTTAATTAATACGTGCATCTTCTAAATGTCTATTTCCGAGGTTCTCCTAGTTTCCACCGCATATAGTGGAACTGTCTTGTTATTTAGAGTGAAAATTCTGACTTCGCTGCTGGTTGTTAGTCGTCTCGAGTTCCAGATAATATTCAATTGTAGAACTACTGTCATTGTTTCATTCATTCTTGCCTTCATATCTGCTTCAGATCGCACTTGCTCATCAATAATGTTGGCTAAGAATGTAAAGGTTTCTACCCACATCAAAGCTTTCTCATTAAGTGTGATTTGCTTGGCGCAAATCGTGTTGTATTCGAAGATCTTGCTTTTTCCCTGTGCATGTTGAGACCTACTACTGCAGATGCTGCTGTTACACTGGCCATCTCCTGCATTTGTTGTTGCGCGCAGAATATAAGGGCTAGATCATCGGTGAAGTGCAGGTCGTCCAGTTACATTCGATCTATTCACTGTATTTTGTGATTCCTCTCCGATGTTGACGCCCTCGTAATCTAGTCAACCACCGCGAGAAAGAGAAAGGGTGAGAGTTAGCAACCTCGTCTGACACCGGTCTTCACTTGGAACCCGTATGTGAACTGTCCTCTAAGCACGTTCCTGCAGTTTAAATCATAGAAACAATTCCATTTGACGTCGACTATATTCTCAGGTCCACCACAGTGTCGACGAAGCCCTCGTAGTCTCATTCTGTCCAATGCCTCCTCGTCGCCAATCAAGTTGATATACCGTGGTGCATTCCATTCAAATGATTGTTCCACAATGATCCGTAGTGTCACGTGCGATTTGGTCTGTATACGATCAATCCTTACGGAATCCAGCCTGTCGATCTCGAAGTTGGACATCTACTAGGTCCTTCAACCTGTTTAACAATAGCCTGTTGAAGACTTTGCCTGTTACTGAGAGAAGTGTGATGCTTCTGCAGTTCCCACCTTCACTGAGATCGCCTTTCTTTGGCATCCTGATGAGGTGTCCTTATTTCAAGTCTGTTGGTACTTGTTCTTCCCGCAGATTTTGCTGAACAAAGTGAGCAACATTGCCTCAGCTGGAATGTTGTCTAGTACCGCTGCCTTGCCGCTCTTGATTTGTTAATTATTTATGCTGATCTCTTCTCTGGAGCAAAAACATGTAATTTCAAAGTTTCAGAATAAAATTACAAAATTAGGACATTTTTGAGTGAGTTTTAACGACCTGACTTCCTCAACGCTCCTCCTCTTTGAACTACGTATGTTCCCGGAGTCAACTTACATCCTGACGGTTGTTCGCTGCTGTCGTAGAGGCTACCTTCTGGAATGTGGATCAGCTTGTTGTCGAGATTCCTCTTCTGATGGGGCTGCCAATAGTCTGAAAGTAACTAGCGAGATGTCAAGGGGAAGATTTGCCTCTCTTGATGGACGACCCGGGGCTAGGCGTTGACGTATCTGATTCCGATGGCGCGTCCCACTTTTTGTTCTTGCACGACATGGCCAACTCTTCTAACCACACGCGCTTCTGTTCATGGACCATGGTTTAGTCTGTAGTCACGGGTGA